TTTATTCCATTTTGATATCTAGGTAAATCTTCTATTTACAGAAAAAAGTGAGTTTATCATGTGAGTTAATGAAATTTAATTCTACTGTTACTACACTATTTATGACACTTTGCTTTTTTCCCAATTAGAAGAAATATCTTCCCCCCTCTTAAGTGAGAATCAGCTATCTGTGGTCTAGATCCTCAGCCAGGGATCATTAGAGGTTTTTATTTAAATAAATTTTGGTGCATGCTTACACAAAATAAACTGCATATTTAAAGTGTACAGTTTGATGAATTAAAGAGGCTTTTCTATTTGTGTGTAATTTAAGATGGTGCATGTAAGCTTCAACTGATTTGTTACATAATTTTTAAAACTTTAAGCTCCCTGAGCCTCAGCTTCCTTATTTCTGAACATGATGTGGGAAAATAAACATAACTTCAATTGATATTGAGAGATATGAATAAGATGTGTAGAAAATTGTTTTTAGTCCAAAGAATGCATTGAAGGATAAAGGTTCTATCTATCTATCTATGTATCTATCTATCTATGTGTGTGTTTGTATACATTGTTCTTTCAAATAAGCCCACACACACATATGTGTACTCACAGACACATATACAATTCCATATTTTATGTTGAAAGTAAATGAGAGAAAGTTGGAAGCATATAAATGAAAAGAATGAATGTTTAAATTAACATGAAATAAAATAATGTAGAAATATAGACACGAAGATTTAAAGTAAAATGTGTGACCTTAATTTTGATAATGAATTACTATTTCTATCTTAATATCACAATAAAATCCTAGTCAGAACCATATTTACATTTATGCAACTAAGAATCCCCTGTAGCAGGTGATGGGGCAGACGATTTCCAAATCAATTCATTTTTTTAAAAAATTAATGTGGGTTTTCAACATAAAATGCTCTTACCCAAGGAAGCTAGTGAATTGAATTGAGAGGCTTGAACTCAGTTTCCTCAAACAAATTTTATTGAATAGATGTCTGTATTAGATTCCTATGGCTGCTGTGAAATATTCCCACGC